GTCACCTGAAGAACCAAACCTATGGAGATGCATCAATTCGACAGTCCTTTGAAGTACGGCTTGGAATCAAAAGATTTCCAACTCTCATGATGTAGGGTCGCCAGTACAAAGGCTCCCTTAGTTTCTTGGCAATTTTGGGCTAATATTCCTATCCTTATAGCTGGCTACCATCTTCCCTTTTTTCCTCGGTGACTTCTTGTACCTTCTTTGTAGTTTTCTAATTGTCAATACCTCTTGGATCGTTTATTTTATGGTCCAATCCCTTTCGTTTTTGTGACTTCTAAGACAGGCGATAATGTCTCTTTCGGGTGGAAGCTTTGCTTTAACAGGTACTTTAAACTTTTTATCGTTACGCCGCTCATGTTCACGCTTGCTTGCTGGTCCGTGCTCCATATTGCAGTCCATATTTTCCACATCAAAACAAAAACAAAGATGACGAAACCTACCGTCTACATCGAAAGGGATAGACGATCTAGAACACGTAGATGATATACAAATCTGGATCAAAATGTCAAAGTAAGCTAAGCCAAGAAAATCAGACTACCGAAATAAGCAGACATTGTAACAAGGGGATGGGCATCCGTTAGGAAGCACTCCTCATACCCTACTTAAAAAATAAAAAAAATACCTCAAAGCACTGCGAGCCAAAAGGGTTAATACCTGTATCAAATACCTGTTGCTTACATATGAAGCCTTAAAACCTGGGACAATCACTAAACATAAACATGCAGAAGATCACGAAAAACTCAGAGAGCTTATGGAACGGACAGATGCTGGTATCTCACTCAAAGACTATAACCACATGAAGACATTTCGTTTAATAGAACAAAAGGTAAAAGATGCTGTTCAACACGCAGTAAACTGTAATGGAATGGGAGGAACATAAGCTACGCGTGCTTACGCATGGCCGATGGAATAAAGGAATCGAAGAGCGGCCATATGAAACCAAAAGAACACGAGGGAAGACCCGCAATTGGATGGAAGCGACGATATTAAAAGATGTGCAGGGTCATGTGAAAAGTCTTACAAACAACAGGGCGACTGAATGGCGAAAATTAGAGAGGATATATTCGGCAATCCGAATAGAGAAAAGGATTTTAAAAAATTCCATATAACTGAGGTTGCGTTTATTCCTTACCTTTTCTATTGTTTTTATTTTTTTTTTTTATTTCTTTTTGTCTAGGCCCCACCCCCCCCACCACACCCCACCCACCCCCTCCATTATCGCTTACTTACCAGTCCACAGTGTCCACCTCCCAGAACTAGCGACCACAACTGAGCATGAGGTACCTCAACACACAAAAAAGTATCAAGCTGCTGCGAGGCAGGGACCAATTTTAATTACAAACTAGACGGATTATTCAAGGAGTTGGACTATATATAATAAAATAACAAGATGCTACACGACTTAACATAGCAAACCAAAATTGACAAGCGTAGAGATTTTAAGGGTATCGGCAAGGGAACTATGGGAAGATCATGTCGACAGAATAAACTACAAAAGAAAAAAAACATAAAACTGATACCAAAAGAAAACGACGAAAAACTATGTTCTACCTCTTTGTGTTACTTTTATTAGAAATATTTATTTAGCACGATTTAACACATCTTCAAATTTTCACTTCCTATATTCTTCATTCCAGATTATTTTAAGTCTTAAGTATATTTAATTTACTATTTTTACTGAGAATTAACCACAATTTTTCATTGAAAATAAAATTATTTTGACAGTTTTTGATTACACTTCGATTTAATATATATCACCATCCAATTTCAGGTGTTTTAAATTACTGAATATTGTTCTTTTTACAGTGATGGTACACTGTCCTCAAAGAGGATCTGAAATAATTTCTGGAGACAAGTCACACACTTTATGCTTATAGAAAAGGTAAGTATTTTTTTTTTAATTTAAACGTTAATAAAATTAAGTATCTTATTGAGATTGAAGTGCCAAATACCTCTTAAAGTAAGAATAGTACCTAAACTTTGTTATCCAAAATATATACCTTTTTTATAAAGTCTTAAAAGATCATCGTCTAATATTTGGCGTCTTAAATAACAACCTCTTTTCTACCTTTTTCTAGGCCGGTGTTTCGTCACGTTAAAATTTTCTTATCCGGTATATCTTTTTCTTTAGAGTTGAAGATCATAAGAAATCAACAGAAAGGAATTGGCAGAATTGAAGGGAATATAATAAACCTACAAGCAAACGAATGGGAAACGACTACCTGACGGACCTGTTTAAAGCAAAGGAAAATGAAGTGCAGACACAAAATAGAAATCAGTTTTCAGGAAATAGAGATAGGCATAAACTTACTCAAAAATAGAAAATCACGAGCATATTATTTTTGTGTTTAAAGCTTATTTAGTACTCGACCGTTGGTTGCTTGGTTTAGTAATTTTAAACATAAATAATTAAAGCTTAAAGCTTAAAAACGTACTTCTGAATGTGAAAGGCAATGTAAGTCATTTAATCAGTATGTATTACTTACGCAAATCTGGTCGATCTTACGTTTTTGTCGTAACAGATAATTATTTTAAGTATAGTTTCTTTTTCCGATTATAAAGTCAACAAGCTAGTTGAATGTTGACGTAATGATATACTTTCAAAATAATTAAAGTCTTTGCTGGAGGGTATACATTTCTTATCTTCGATATCAAGGCCAATTTTTGAACTTACTATCACTGTGGATTTTGCATTCAACTTGTATGTTTATTATATACTGTTATCATTTAATCTTGTGGGAATATATTTTAAATATAAAAATTATTTATATTTAATTTGAATTATACATATCGCCTCATCATATAAGTCCCGAAACTAACTAATAAGATAACATGAGATACATATTACATTGACCAAAGGGATTCTGAAATATTCTGATTTAAAAAAGATGGAAAGGGAAAAATCAGTGGTTTAATTTAATTCTTGTAATATTCGAGAGTATGATTTGGATCGAGAAAAGATCAGATGAGAAATGTAATTGGCAGAGCTATGGAAGCGAAAACTGATATGAATTTTAGTAATACTTTTATATAACCCCTCAAATTTGTCCATGGCAGCTCTTTCGAATAACAGCAAGAAATCATAAGTGTCTTCCAATCCCAATTTCGATTTGTCGATGTATTACAGACGATATGTAAGCGGCGAGCATCTGTATTAGAAACGTGCCTTATTTTTTGTGTTTATAATGATAATGGCTAGTTAGAGAAGATACCACGGGTCGTACGCCCCGAACACCACGCAAAATGGAGCGAAAAATATATATAAAAAACGTAAGTACAGACCGCCCCTACAAAGAGATAGAATGGATTGAGGTAGACATTAGGATCATAACGAATTTATACTGGAACCCAGGCGTGCTCCAATTCACTGGTCGAAAACCAGCTGACCTGACCCAAGTGAGATCATGTGCAGGAGTAGGCAATGGCTGTGTGCTCTCGCCGCTCTTTTTCAATTTTTACCTCTCTGAGAAGCCCGACAATTTTTACTGAACGCCCTCACAATAACCTAGAGATAGGAATATACGTGACGGTGAATACAAGAAAAATATCCAATACGCCCAATGGACCCTGTGCTTACTAGTAACAGCTAAATGATCTATAAGCCTCTACTAGCCACGAGTGCGCAACTGTGAGGTTAAATACGGATGACTATAATATTTAAGAAAACTAAACTTAAATGATTGGTAAGCCGTGCAAATTAGATCTCGGGGAGACTAATGACAGTAGCGAAGAGACAGCCATATAGTCGACCAGATTCACTTTACCTCGAAGACTACCCCTCAACTCACAAATGGGGCTAAGCTCAATACACTTAGATCCAGAATTGAAATGGCCGCAGTGTCTACATTTATCAAGTTCAGTTCTTGCTGTGTCCAGTAATTTCAGTTTGGAAACCAAGATGGGTGATAGTGAGGTGCTAAATTTTTCAGCTGTTACTACTACGGAGTTAAAGGATGATGGGACATCTTGCAGAGTTGGCACAAATGACGCAAAGCCAAGTGAGCGGATTGAAACCTTCGAGGATGTGGATCTACCAGCAAGGATACAAAAACTATTGGTATATAGATCATGTCACCAACGTGAGGTCCTACGGGCATGAGAAAAGAAAAAGATTGTGCATATTTTAGTCGAAACAACGTAGCTTGAGTACATCGGCCACGTGATGGCCCGGATTGAAGAAAAATATCGCAATTTACATGAAACCATGATAACCTTGATGATCTGCCAACACTCCCGGACCGGCATAATGCACTGAATAAAAAGAAGTAAATACGCTAGTGATAGTGACTTTGTATACAACTTAAATGGATTTTCGGTACCTTGAATCCTCTCCGTTCGGCTCGCGAGATAAGATTCGCCCGAGCCAAAGAAGACACTTCCTGTCGTAAGTGGGTTACTCAATGGGAGAGAAGGAAATGAGAGGTCGAGAAGCCGTCGTATCGAGGTGTCGGGTTTGTAGAAAGAAACGCGACACGAGATGCATAGTATCTCGGTCACGGTCTTATACTCCTAGTATCCGAGACTGGGCCCGTAAATACCCTCCGGACTTACACACCGAGAGTGGTGTCGGTGGCACGGATGTCCCAGGCACGTAACCCTACCTGGAATGATTTAAGAGTGTCTCTTTGAGGGAGTGATCCTCGGCCCGCGTTCACCAGGGATCATGCCAAATTATATTTCGAGAGGGGCACAAATGCAAGGCTATCTACCCTTGAATCCAGCTATAAAGAAAATCAATCTTTTTTGTGATATTATGTATTGCTCAAAACAAACTACATTGTTCTCCAATACTTTAGTTAACGTCGGCTCACAATAGCTATGACCATAATCATCTACATTAGTTTTCGTACGACGAGGCACAGTTTATTTGCTCAGTAGATGGGTTTTATAAGATATCACAAAATTAATTTTCTAGTCTACGCAGAAAAATGTTGAACAGTTCAAACTTAATAAATTATTTTCGATATTGCTTTAACAGTATCTTCTTCTTAAAGGTGGAGCTGCCACAGATCATGCTGGAATTCAAACTCGTTGTTTAAAGACTAAAGACGAAGGAACCTTCGACCTCGATGAACTTAGAGAAAAAATAAAGAAAAATGTAGACATCCATGAGACAATTACGTCTCTAATAGTTGTTGAAAATACACATAATTTGTGTGGTGGTAGGGTAAGTGTAATTTAGATATTCCTATTTAAATTTTTACAAACATACGACAAAGGCGGCAAGTGGAAAACTTGTTTTACTACCAAGTCTTATAATCAAAATCGGGAGAAAACCTATTGATTGAATTTTTAACTATTAAAATAATATACTCCATGTGGTTAACAGTAATAATAAGCATTTAGTTACTATTCAGTAGCACCTAATCAAATCAAGTCTCCCGAAGAAAAATTCAAAAATTTGTAACAGAAATTTTTAATTAAAAAAAAAATTCGACGCACGTATTATAAGATTAATTTCCATAACAATTCTTGTTTTTTTTTAAATCAAAATTTAGAGTTTGGCTTAATCTCACTCTTTGCGGAAAACTTTTGATAAGTATATTATGTTAAAATTAAAAATTTAATATTTAAATTATAGAGAGATTAGCTAATTATAAATTTTCATTTAAAACTACAAAATCAAACTTTTGCTTATTTTTTGTTTATTTACATTCTTCTAACCCCCCACTCTAATCAACATATTTTATTTAAAAAAGTTGTGCAGATTTCTATTACAAACATCTATGTTACCAGCCCGGTTTTCAGCCAGATATGATGGGGCCCAAATTAAACAAACAATGGATCAATTAGTGATAATTAATAATAATTAAATTATATCATATTATATTTTCCCTCAATAGCCCTGGTAATAAGATAAAGAATTTAACTCATAGGTGCAACAATAATCAAAATTTTAAAATCGGTCGCAACTTAAACAATCAAACAATGAATAGGTTAAGGTAAAACCCAAGCATGGAATATTACCGGTAACTTTCAATGGTATTGTGTGGGTACACTATTTTACGAACCCACCGCAACAACACAAATTTTAAGATATGTGTACGTATTGGTTCACTTTTGACTTGCGTCTGTTACATCTTATCGACGTCCACACTCTCGATCGCGAGATCCATTCACTAATAAATTACTATAGGAATCGTAGGGAATGGGAGAAGAAAATGTATGGAATTATTTATAAAACCATATTTGAATTTAAACGGGCCGGCGCGTAGGAAATTTCGACACTAAGCAGGTAAGCGAGACTAAAAATCATTTAATGGCAATTTCTCGACACCAATAGCCCCGCACAATTACCGTTTAATACTCTTACAGGATAATATTCGACACCCAAACTAAACTACTAGCCTGCGGACATCACATTAAACACCCATAATTAATTCTATTAATTTATTTTACATAGACTAACAGAAATGTGCATTTTATTTCCTTCTATAACTGTTAAAATCAAACTACCTCAATTATAATACAACTCAGTACCTAAATTTTTTGCTACATTTTACCGTTAATATACTTGTATCACAATGATGTATTTGCTACTTGGAGGAATGGGATAATGATACACTGCTTTTCTATAAAAAACCTCTCACCCTACGTATTTCGTTGGGATCGTCAGGTTTATCCATCATTTTCTCCAAACATGCCAATTAGGCCCCCATGCTTCAACACCATATATTTAAAACATTTAGCCATCAACAGCTAGCTAAATCATTGATCATTCTTTAGAACTGGATATATGTAGGACCTATTTATCTATGGACTAAGCCCACACCCACCCTCCCCCCCTACCCCTACATTGAAGACATTCTTTTACTACTTTTCAATAAAAATAACAATCTCAGTAGAAGGAATGTGTTGAATTACAATAAGAAGAATCTTAAACCGTACGAATGCAAGGACTTCACAGGCCATTTTCTAGGTGGCCCTCGCGCACAGGCAAGTAGACGGATATCGGAATTAGGACCATTATGTGTAGGGGAAATAGAGCTCGTCATTTATCCGACAAATGTAATTTTCCGAGTTAAATAATCATGGCCATATATATCAACGTAGGTTCGACGCTTCTAAACGGATTTTACAATGACATTAACACTCATTACAGAAAGACGATTCTTTCAACCTTCTGCTTGCGATTTATAATAAGTCATAAACCAAACGTATGCACTTCAAGCTACATTTTCCAAATTTACTGATATTTGTGATAGCTTATATCTTCTATGTACCAAACCCAAATATGATCTGAATTTTTTAAACCTAGTTGTAGGTTCTTTAGAGTAAGTGAAAAAGTTCCAAGGCCATTCCACGTGAATTTTGCCAATCCGCGGACCACATATACATATAAAGCTGACAAGCTGACCCATGGCTTTTTCAAAGACCCCAAACAATATTTCAGGTAATGGGTGGTTCCTCTAATGATAAATCGAAAAGTGTTCTCAAAATATTTGACTGACTTAATAAAGCTAAAAATAAATGTTATTGGTATGGTCATTGACAAATTTGTCCCTTTAACAAACACGTCTGCATCACTCAGGCACCATAATGTTCCATTTTACCACGCCATGTATAGTCAAAAATAATTGTAGAAAAATTTGGCTACTGTGAAATGTACCATCTTTGGTACACAGTTTTGTAATTTACACAACACAACCGAATCTATTTGCCTATCGCCCAATCGAATAATACTATTAATTACTCATTTATTTCAGGATGATGTTAAAAACAAAAAAACTTTGATAGCGACAAGGTTTTAGGCAGACGATACTCATTTCTATACTCGCCGTATAGGGACATGCTGTGATAATGACATCCTTCGGTAATACGGGAGGCACCTGCGGCTAAACAGTTTGCGAACGACAGTTGCTAAATGTTCTTTCTTAATGCCTAGTCTATGTCGGGCAACAACGTCAGCAAAATTTTGTGCATTCACCACATCAGCCACAGCAGGCCAGTTCCTGTAATTTTTGGACAGGCCTCTTTCCGAATATGTCTTCTTGGGCCCTCTTTTCCATTTTGTTACATGCATTTCGCGTTATACTAATCTTTTACTTCCAAACGCTTTTTTGGTATACGGCTTACCGATGATTTACTGTACCAAATCTCACTTCTTGTCGATGCGTGTAAAGGGTCACTCACATGCAATATTGTACAACACTTATGCGGAAACGACCTTAGTGATTTCTTGGGAACTAGCAGCAGCCAAAACTACATCGCCAGCTTTTTAAACACTTTCTGTTTCCGAGAACGAATGATGACTCCACACTAATTAAATCTCGATCCCACGGGAACTTTTTATCAAACTCGATTTTTTAAATATCCGTATACGTGCACATAGGTCAAAGTCATACAGAAGCATAAATTAATACCTAGAACTGAGATTAAGTAAGGCCAAGTACACAAGTGGCCACGCCGCCGCCGCCGTGACAATAACTTATTGGGGGGAAAAACCGCTTGTCCTGCTTGGAGTGCAAATATGTCATCGGCCGCTAATCTACCTACACTACCTGCTCTACGCCGCCGGTTTGTCGACAATTTCCTTATAATAAAATTTGACCTTCGATTACCCCAGGTACAAGGACCAATTTGGTGTCGAAGTTCGCTTGCGATTTAAACATCACTGAGTTTATCCAATTAACTGCACTGAACTATAATAATTAAAAAAATATGTATCAAGTTCCTGCAGATCTAAGAATACGTGAACAATAAATGAGATTGATCAAGATGACCTTTACCAACACTACGGTCATACCTGGTATGGGGCTACCTAATTCAGAGGAATTTGAAATAGTAACTTACGGTGTAATTAAGGAAGCGGACTCTACATAGTGTTAAATGTAACAAAAATTATGACACTTAATAAACAGGAAAACATTAATTTTTGTAGGTGATTCCTCTAGACTGGCTGGAAAAAGTTGGTTAAAGGCCCCATAGCAGCGAACTGAACACGATTATCGGTTCATATGGATGGTGCTAGAGTGATGAACGCCGCTGTATACTTGAAAGTGAGTCCTCGCAGGGTTGTTCGAGATGTAGACAGTTCTGATTTAGCAATCAAGCAAAAAGGTTGGGATGTCCAATAGGATCAATATTGGCGGGATCTGCTGATTTCATAAATAAGTAAGTTAAGTTTTTGTTTGTTGATTTTATAAATTCTTGTACGGCAACCAGCAAGTCGCAGAGGTAAAACACGTCGATTTTTAATTTAAGTTTCCGTATTTTAAAATAATATTCTAATATACGGGGTGAATTACTTTCGAGTAATGACGTCCCGTCATTTTTTTTTTATGGAATACACCCACTATCTGTCTCATTTTAGAATAAATCTAGTGAGCTGATTCAAAAATGTATCACATCACTTGATTTAATGGTTACTAGGAGTGGAAAAAAATACAATGAGTTTTGATGTGTGTTCATAAAGGATTTACGGCGCTAGTTAAATTCCCAGATATTATCAAAATAGACCGTATTGTCTAGCCGGACAGATATAGCTGAAATACATGACTTTTATAAATGTGCGAACTGCAGCCCTTTCGGTATTGTAACAAGTAGACCCCAAACGTGTGTGCAAATTCTTTGTTGAACCTTTAAGCGTTGTACATTGTGTCCTTGCAGAACTATTGTTCATGTTGCTGATCGAATTCGTCTGTTGTCAATTACCTTTGGAATATTTGCTGGGTTCGTTTGATACCCAACATGCTTCAGATGGCACCACATACAAATAATCCCAAAAGGATAGAAATGCAGGTGCATCCTCGGCTGGGCCATTCAGCAGGTCCACGTCTACCTACCTTCTAACATCATACAGCATAATGTGGAGGTGAGCACCATTCTGTTGCAAACCCATACTAAATCTTGGAAATGATGATAACACTATGATAAACATCACAGAACAGGACCTTATAACGCGTTCAACAGTAAGATTGAACAGAAATATCGATGAAACCGTGTCCGGTTGTAAATTGCACGGCACTGCAGATCCTGTCCCCTCTGCAAATGCCGGAGACAGAGCAATAGATGTTTAACGTAAGATTTGAAGAAGAATGCGCACAACGTCTGTGCGTAAAGGTTAGTCGCGATATCCGGTCAGTAGGTAAAACACCGGTACACAAACTATTAAAAGTTGAAAAACTGGCGTTCCTCCTAGAAGATCAAACTTGACTGCATGAATTAAACGAAGATGATCCAGCATAGAGAGATGCCAATTTTGCGAAGCAATGAATGAATACACCTGCCCATCGAGAATCCTCTCCTTGGTACAAAACATAATTTTTTCTGATGAGGCCGAGCTTTAAACGTTAAACTGGCCGAGGGTATAACCGTCAGAATCTGGTAAGATCCTGGCGCAAAAGAAAACGCCACTGGATGCCCAGTGAGCCTTCTACACAATACTCGCAAAAGGTAAAGGTATGGGCTGCAATTGAGTAAGAACTCGAAAGCATCGGACCCACTTCCATCGAAGGTAAATTTAAACGGCAGCAACGAAACTACATTGGAGTTATGTAAGAGGGATAATCTCGTACCTACTTTTTCGTAATTTGTTTCCCAGCAGACGTAAACCAGGAGGTTTTGATGAAAAGTTAATGGTTGCAAACAGGTGGGCACGCGACTACAAGTATGCCTGTATATGATAGAAGGTACCTAGATGAAAGTTTTCCGAACAGTGTGGATTTGGTAGACGTGGGGGGACCTATTGAAATGGCCAGCGGCGAGTCATCCAGATTGCCAATCCTTTGGATATTATTTCTATCTGGTCGGGACCATCTGGAAGAATCATTGTGGTATCAAATAACCACAGCAAATATTCAGAGAATTACAACAGAGAATTCGGACAGCACATACCGAAACTAAACTTTCTCAAGACAGTAACCAAGGTTCCAACAAGAATTTGTTAACAACGTTTGGGTTACTGTTACAATACAGCAAGGGCTGGCAGTATCGAATCACTTATAAAGTCATGTATTTCATCAATATTGTGTCCGCAGAACAATAAGTATTTTTGATAAATTGTGGATAATATTGCTCTTTAAATAGCGCATTACTTTATGAAACACACACAAAACTATGGGAAGTTGTGTCCACCCTGGATACCAATTTGAATCAAAGTGTGATACATTTTTGGAATCAGCTCAGCTAGTTGTAATCTGAACAATAGAAGACCAAATGGGGCTGAGCCATTATTAAAAAAATGACGGTGACACGTCATTACTCGCAAGTCCATTCACCGTGTAATATTAGAATATTATTTATAAAATACGGGTGAAAGTTAAATCAAAGTCGAACGCTTTTCAGGATATATTTCTCAAAATGTTGATGTTTAGCTACAAAAGAATTTGTTTCCAAACTTAACGGACACAGTGCATATTACAAAATAAGAGTGATAGACTAGATAAAATCCGTCAACCTACCAAAAATGGCCGGTAACGAAAATAGGTTAAAAAACACATAAATTAACCCGAGATTGGGCAGACCGGAAAAGGAATGGTGGGATCCGAAATATAACCAGTTACCAATTTAAAGTGAAATATTTGAATGGAAATTATTAGATTATAGATAGACCAATACAAAATGATGACATTTTGGTCCAGTGGTAATTAAAATAATCTTACATCCTAGAGCAGAAAAAAATGAAGCATAAATCTGTAAATAGTTATTTGCAGTTTAAGCAGTAACGACACGGATTTTTCTAACTATATTCAGATATGTTTTGTGATAATTCCCTATTATGAAAAGTATTGATTCCCGTCCTAAAAAAGGACATTTACTGGTTTTCTTGTAATAATATTTTGCTCCACTTCACTATATGGATAGTGTGTCCAACAGAACATACAATCCACAGCAGTTTTTGTCATAATTAAATATAATATTTAAATATTTGCATAAACCGGTTCTGAAACTGTATAAATATCTTCTTTATAAAACTTTTATAACTTCTTGCTAACTTTTATATAAAGTGTGAGTATACAGAGATGCTCCTGTAAATTGTCTTAAAGTTGGCGAATCACTTTTGGCAATAGTTTCTCTTCATTTATTTGCGAACGAAATATGTTTAGGTAACGCATGAACATTCTAATCTTTAGTGATTGTGGCAGCTGACTTCACAAAACGCCCAACTTCCCTAGAGTTACAAAACACACCAAAATTCCATCAATTTTCCTAGTTTTTCCCATACATTTCTTAATTGGAACAATATATGGAAAACAGTTTCTTACTGCTTAGTCACGTTTTACCTACATATCTTATCAAAGCAGTTATTTTGCTTACAAAATAGTGTATCACGTGGTTTATTAATAATAAGGTTTGTTTTCAATAACTAATTATGTTGTAATCGTTACAGTATGTTATTTGGGAAGAGCAATTATTAAATTAAAGTAAAACTTTTACAGAAAAAAAGATATTGGAATGACAGCTGTTTGAAGATGTAACAGAGTCATTCTAAATAAGTGTAAATGAAGTTCTAAAAATGAATATATTTGGATATAATAATGACTTTTGAAGGTCGTTTACTTTACAATCTAGTTAGGTATGGTTAAATCAAAGAACATAACGCTATACCCGTTGATTAAACATCTAAAGAATTTATTTACCGCCGTTATCGACAGAAAATATATAATATATTATATTGATTTAGGGTACCTATTTGCATTTTAAGGACGATCTTTAGACTGCAAGTCGAAATTGATAAATTATTACGTTTGAATTAAACATTGACTAAATTTAATAGATAAGGCGTGAACGTATATTCAGTTT